CAACTTTGGAGTTTTGAAGCCAAATGTCACCCTCCCTACCTCTCTAACATTAGTCAACTTGAATTGAATCTTAGGTTCATGAGGACTTCTTGTCCTTTGTGTATATATGCATTTCATGAGGAATTCTGTAAGGTACACCCACCTGAGCTCTTTTGGCTTGAAGCTTTAACCCTGCCTTGAGCCTTGTCCAAAACTGAAACTGTGTTATTTTAATGTTTTCAGATGATCGAGACCCAGTATAAATGTTTTGAACATGATAACTCAAAATAAAAATCACCATCTTAAGAAGCATCATAATGTGTAACTAATAGTGTAGCTAAGACCAAACAGTATAGAGGTTGGTAGCAAGAAGAAGAGTGTGGGGAGTGCTAAAGAGCAGGTTAAGAATCAGGTGCAGATCCCAGACAGGACACCTGTTAGCAGTGAGATCTTCAACCAATTACTCAGTATTTCTAAGTCTCAGGTTTGGTATCTCTAAAATGGGAATGATACTGTTACAAGAATCAAATGAGATATTTACACATATATAGTACACTTGGAACAGTTTCTGGCACACCTGGAACATAGCAGATGTTCAATATATGTAATCATCAGTATCTTCTGTAATATGGGATCATTTCTGGACTTCCCTCGTGGCGCAGTGGGTAAGAATCTGCCTGCCAATGCAGGGGACACGGGTTCGAGCCCTGGTCCGGGAAGATCCCACACGCCGTGGAGCAACTAAGCCCGTGCACCACAACTACTGAGCCTGCGCGTCTGGAGCCTGTGCTCCGCAACAAGAGAGGCCGCGATAGTGAGAGGCCCACGCACCGCGATGAAGAGTGGCCCCCGCTTGCCACAACTAGAGAAAGCCCTTGCACAGAAACAAAGACCCAACACCGCAAAAATAAATTAATTAATTAATAAACTCCTACCCCCAACATTAAAAAAAAAAAAAAAAACATTTCTTGGGACTTCCCTGGTGGTCCAGTGGTAAAGAATCCACCTTAAAATGCAGGGGATGTAGGGCTTCCCTGGTGGCGCAGTGGTTGACAGTCTGCCTGCCGATGCAGGGGGCATGGGTTCGTGCCCCAGTCTGGGAAGATCCCACATGCCGCGGAGCGGCTGGGCCCGTGAGCCATGGCCGCTGAGCCTACACGTCCGGAGCCTGTGCTCCACAGCGGGAGAGGCCACAACAGTGAGAGGCCCGCGTACAACAACAACAAAAAAAATGCAGGGGACACGGGTTCGATCCCTGGTCGGGGAACTAGGCTCCCACATGCCGCGGGGCAACTAAGCCCGCACGCCACAGCTACTGAGCTTGCGCGCCTCAGCTAGAGAGCCTGCATGCCGCAAAATACAGGGCCCACGTGCTCTGGAACCCATGCACCACAACTACAGAGCCCACGTGCCCTGGAGCCCACGCGCCACAACTAGAGAAGAGAAAACCCACACACCACAACTAGAGAGAAGCCTGCGCGCTGCAACGGAAGATTCTACATGCCTCAACGAAGATCCCACGTGCCGCAACTAAGACCTGACGCGGCCAAAAATAAATAATAAATAAATAAATAATAAATCTTAAAAACATATATCTTTAAAAAAACCCAAACATTTCTTAGCAGGTTTTAGGGGCCCAAGGCAGCACCATCAGCATCAGGTTCAGTTCCCTACTGAGAGAAAGGCAGTGGGGATTTGGGGGGAGGAATTTATATCTAATAGAAGCTTTGGCAAAGTAACTGAGAGTAAGAATAAAAGGGAATAAGAAAATGTAGTGGTTTTTAGACTTGCAAATACACTTGAAAGGGTTAATGTTGTAATTTTCTGAAATGGAGGAATTCTTTGATCTTGATGCTTAAAAAAAAAAGAAACAACGAAAGAATATAAGGGTATTTCTCTGGATTGTATGAACAGTATTGCCTGCAAGTAATCAGCCCCGGGGACCACACTTAGCATATTTGTAAATCACCTGAAAAAAGGAGTAGATGGTGAAATTCCCAAATTTGCAAGAACTACTAAGCTCCTCTGGGTAGTGAAATGCCGAGCTGGCTAATATGAATATAGAAGGATAACACAGGGTTACATGAGTGGGCAGAAGCATGGCAGATGGGCTTCTGCATGGACAACTGTAAGATAAGGAATGTAGGGAGAAATCATTCAAACCATCCTTCCAAGATTAAAGGGCTTTCAACTATCAGCTGTAACAAAATGAAGAGGTTTTATGGTCAGTATATATTTTTGTGCCTAGTTATTCCTACTGCAGCTAAAAAACCAGCCAAAAATCAGGAGTGCTTAGAAAGGGCATTTTTAAAGGGGCATTAAAAGCAGGAAATAGTAGCCCACTCATAAGGCCATGGTTCAGTTATACCTGGAATGTTGTGAGTAATGTGTTCAGCAGACCTGAAGCATTTGGAATACAGGAGGAGAAGGTACAGAGAGAGTGGACTAAAAGGACTGCTTTATGAAAACAACCTGCAAAGATGAGAGGATTTATCAGCCTGGGAAGATGAAGGTTTATAAAATCAGAGGGATGTGGTGCAGGTAGACACACGCTGATTAACATTTACCATCCCCATCTTCGACAGACATGGGTCAGAGAGTGAGTATAAAAGGAATAGAGCAAATTTGTGGTTATCAGAGGGGAAACATGGTGGGGTTAGGGATAAATTAGGAGTTTGGGATTAACATATACACACTACTATATATAAAACAGACAACCATCAGGGACCTACTGTATAGCACAGAGAACTCTACTCAATATTCTGTAATAACCTATATGGGAAAAGAATCTGAAAAAGAATGGATATATGTATATGTATAACTGAATCACTTTGCTGTACACCTGAAACTAACACAACAGTGTAAATCAGCTATACTCAAATATAAAATAGAAATTAAATTAGAAATTAAAAATTTAAAAAATTGGGGGGCTTCCCTGGTGGCGCAGTGGTTGAGAATCTGCCTGCTAATGCAGGGGACACGGGTTCGAGCCCTGGTCTGGGAAGATCCCACATGCCGTGGAGCAACTAGGCCCATGAGCCACAACTACTGAGCCTGCGCGTCTGGAGCCTGTGTGTCTGGAGCCTGTGCTCCGCAACGAGAGGCCGCGATAGTGAAGAGGCCTGTGCACCGCGATGAAGAGTGGCCCCCACTTGCCACAACTAGAGAAAGCCCTCTCACAGAAACGAAGACCTAACACAGCCAAAAATAAATATAAAAATAAATAAATAAATAAAAAAGATTACTATTAATCAAAGAAAACCAGACATCCCAAGTTAATGAATTTAAAAATAAGTAAATAAAATTTTAATTAAAAAATAAATAAAAGGAATAGAGCATCATGCTAGTTTAAAATTGAAATCAGATTAGGCAGAAAGGCCAATAGGCTAACTGACAAATAGGCCAATAATAGTTCAAGGTAGCACAGGATGAGTGCCAAGGAAATGCCCACTTCAACCCCTTAAAACTTGAAAAGAGAAATTTTTTTAAAAAATCATTTTCACAATGGGTCATTTACTTTGGGAACTAGTTACCCAACAAGGGTTGTTCTATCCTGCTACTACACTTGTGCAGAAAGAGGTGAATATATTTCTTATGAGTGAATTTATAATTTGTTGTTTTAAAAAAGTCAGGGGCTTCCCTGGTGGCGCAGTGGTTGAGAGTCCACCTGCCGATGCAGGGGACACGGGTTCGCGCCCTGTCGGGGAGGATCCCACATGCCGCGGAGCGGCTGGGCCCGTGAGCCGTGGCCGCTGGGCCTGCGCGTCCGAAGCCTGTGCTCCGCAACGGGAGAGGCCACAACAGTGAGAGGCCCGCGTACCATAAAAAAAAAAAAAAAAAAGTCAGTAATATTTGGAGATATGCCCAAACTTTGCTGTTTGCCTTGGCGTAAAACAAGTTTTGGAGTCAGGCAAACCATATTCAAATCCCAGAGCCACCACATACTAGCTCTTAGGTGGGCTACTTAACCACTCTGAACCTCAGTCTCCTCCTCTGTAAAGCAAGAAGAACACCTTCCAGTTAGGAATGTTGGGATGAAGGAAAGAGTAACATTTGTAAAGCTCTGGGAAGGGCTGAGGACAGAGGCTGTCTGCAAGGCTTGGTTTCCTTTGTTATCTCTTCTGCACTATGCCCTTTGCAGCCCTGTCAGACTCAAAAATCCCATCCTGGGGAGTCTCTGGTCAGGCAGTACTTGATTCTAATCCTACTTTGCTACTTTCATCTGTATTAACATGCATTCTTTCATATTCATTGAGCCCCCACTATTTCAAACATTGGTTTAGGTGTTTGGGAAATAGTAATGATAAAGATATACCTGCTGTCTGGAAGCTTACCTGGGGGAGAGGGCTACACAAACACTAAACCTGCAAATAAAGTTATTTCAGAGAATTATATGAAGAGGATCACAGGGTAGAGTGTGACGGGGTGAGGGCTCAGTTCTTCTAAGGAGGAGATGGGAAGGGCCTTTGTGAGAAGACAGATAACACTTAAGCAACGTCCAAAGGGATGAGAAGGTGTCATTTGAAAATTGCTGGGGAACATTCCAGGCAGATGGAGAAACAAGGGTGGAGGCCCCAAGGCCAGAATGAGTGTGGAATGTTCAAAGAACAGAGAAGGCTGGCGGGGAGAAAGGAGGGGACACAGAGGAAGACAGAGGGCAGGCAGCCTTGTTGGAACTTGAGGCCAGCTCAGGACTCAGATTTTATTCTGAGCCGTAGGAAGCTACTAGAGGGATGAAGCTTGACTTCTACTTTGCAAGGGTCCTGTGGCTGCTTGGTAGAGAGTTAGACCCTAGGGCAGCCTGAGTGACAGCACTGTCCCTGCTTTCTCTTCCTACCCATGCTGCCTTGCCACTCTGTTCCTCTCTCTCTGGGTCCGAGGGGACACACTGTTTTCACACCACATCTCTCCCGGTGCAGAGGTAACTTTGCACAAATCTCTTTCCACTCCTTTATCTTTTAGGACACGTAAAAATTATTTTTCTCAAGTGAAATATTTAACCCAAATATATGTCTTTTCAGGTTTTAAAAATCAATTTGATTGGCCACAGGAAACGTATCTTGGCATCTCTAGGAGACAGGCTGCACGACGATCCACCACAGAAGCCCCCTCGGTCCATCACCCTCAGGGTAAGTACCCAGCATGCTTGTTTTGTCCTCCACTCTTATCCTCGAAAATTATTTTGTGCAATAAAATAAAAATGATTGAAGCAGTGGGTCAGGAAGTACAGTCTGTTTTCCACGTAGCCTGCCTCACCTGTATAAAAAACTATCTCGCCTTCGATAGTGTTTTCTACGACAAGATTTGTTTTTCTCGGTTGGTTAAATATATATTTTTGAGATTTAAATTAACATCTGAAAACCACCACCTTTAAAGAACCTCTCCGCTACCCCACATCCCACACACCCCTCTACACCAAGAGAAGAAATGAGTTTTCTGTCAAACTCCTCAAACCCACAGGTAGAAAATCGATGAGGACCAGAGTTAAGTAAAAGATCAATTTAAAATTAACCTTAGGGTCTTCTGTTTTTTAAGAAGTGAAAAATTTTCAGCTTTGCCCACTTCAAAAATTAAGAATAGAGAATCTAGGACTTTATTTAGTAAACGGTTTCAGCTGTATTTTAGAATTATGGGGTAGAAAAACTAGGAGGAAGAGAGAAAGTGGAAGAGGAAGGAAGGCAAAGAGAGAGCAGAGGGAAGGAGACAGAGAGAGAGAAGATTGCCAGGCAGAATGGCAGCGGAAGGAGTAGCCAGTGGTCGCTGGTGTTCCTGAGGCCTGTAGAAACTTTTCAAAAATTTACCATAAAGGCAGGATCACCATGACCAGTTGGAGAGTTCCAACTCTGTTCTCTTTATTGAGTCCTGCACTTGCTTGCTTCTGATTCCTTTTCTGCAAGTGTCAGAAAGGGTAGTGATAATAAACGAACACAAAAGTAGCCCTTAGATGTCACTGCCAGCGATGAAATGCAGTCGAATGCCTCTTATCAGTGGACTTCAGCAAACAGTAACTACTGTCAGTATCACAGAGGATCGAGCAGGAGAGGAGCTGTTAAGATTTTAAAGCTGATTCAGTTTTAAAGGAGAAGAAAATACACAGAGACTTCAGGAAATGCAAGAGAATTGGCTCCAGGAGGGCCATGAGGAAAACTGACGACTGGGGCAGTTGGAATACACTGGTTTATTTGGAGGCTAGTGAAGGCTTAGGGAGTAGTGAAGATAGAAGAGGACCTATTTCTCCCTCAGTAAGAAGAGCCTCAAATAAATTGGGGGAAAATCAGGCTAGAAAGGCATTATCGTTTTGCCTTTGTTTTGCTACACAAAAGAGGAGAAAGATACAGGCACCATCAGTGTAACCATCCTAAAAGGACCCTTTCGAGGAGTAATTCCCTGCTACTTACCCTACTGTCTTTCCTTCCTCTGCTGAACCTCTCCCTCTGGCTCTCTGGAAGAGATTTAGGGAAACAGACAAATCACAGACAGAAGTTCCCAAGAAAAAGTGTAGGACCTTAATCCATCAAAGGAGGTCCAGAACATCTTGGGGAGAAATAGCCTGGAGAATCGGCACGATCCAATCCTCCACTTACTTGCACGCATCAGAGCCCAGCTGTCTTCCACCCTTTATCTTACCTTTTTTTTTTTTTTTTTTTTTTTTTT